CAGCTAAAGTACGCTGATGAGTAAAGCAGGTCCTAGCCCTGATACTTATTTACTGTCTGATATTGAGCAAGTCTCAAATCCTCTCTGGGTAACGATTTCTATACTGCTTAAAATTAAGATAATATATACTCACTTTTGAAAGAAAGACGGTGTATGAATGCAGTTACCCCCATTTTAGAAGTGGGGAAAGAGATAAGAAAATAATCTGTTGCTTCAGAGTTACTGAAACAGTCTGGCAGGGCCAACAAATAGAAACCTGGAGCACTGACTCCTGTTCCCTTATTCTGTTCCTAAGTGTCCCTTATTCTGTTCCCATACGTCATGGATGGATGCCAGAAGGAGAAATCAGCCTGTGCCCTATCATATGTTATTCTCTGACTTATTAATATGAGCAAATATTTAGTGTCTCAGTGACTGAGCTGGTTACTTTTGTGCTCACGATTCTTTGCTCCAGTGTTCTCACAAGACTGGGCTACAGCAGAGAAAGCAAAAATACTCACGGCCATTGGGATTCCCTTTGCCAAAACAGCTCACAGCATAACACACATACACACACACCAGTAATGCACACATGCATGCACACATATATAGATGAATGCCTCCTTGAATAAGCATATATAGACACCAAACTGTCATCATTTTCCTCACTGTCACCTGCTAAAGCAGCTGGTAGTTCAGCTTAGCTGCAGCTTGTGGGACATGCACAAGTTCAAAATTGCCTGTCTATTTTTGCATGTCTCCTATGATCTTCATTAAATGTTTGTCTTGCCCTTTATAAGCTCCTTAGATGCTGTCAGAAGAATCTTCTTATTAGGCTGTATCAGGCTTCTTTGATTGTGTTTTTTTTTTAATTAAACATAAAACTTGTACAAAAAAATTGCAGACAGATCATTAAAAAGACTATTAAAGGAAACATACTTGGAGCAGTGACAATATAATTGCATTTGGCACCTGTATCGTTTATCTGGGGATCTCAGAGCACTTTACAGAGGTAGGGAAATATAATTATCCTTATTCTGCAGAGGGGAAACTGAGGTACAGAGGCATTAAAAAGGAAATTTTGAGAAGCACTTAGGGCAGTTAGGCAATGGGAATTGGGCACCAACTAATAATTCTTCCATTAAGAAACTTGCTCAGATCACATAAAGGTAGGGTAGGGAATACCACATAAGCCTCCCGGCTTCATGCAATCCATGCTGTAACTACGAGTTTAGAAATAGAAACACTAGAAAAGAGAAAAGCTATTTTTAATCCTTTTACAAATAATTGGAATGTTTCAAACATAATTCATCCAGACTGCTGTGCTGAGTATCTAGACTATTCCTTAGTGATTTGTCAGTACTGCAATAAAACTAAAAGCTTCAAGCTTTTCTGAAACAGAAGCCTCTGGGCTCAAGAATGCCAACTGGGTGGAATACATTTGTTCTTTAGTTTGTGGGCACAATGATAATTATAATATGAACTTTTGGGGAAGTTGCTATAAGGCAGTAGGCAATGACCTCTAGAGTCTAACTGTCTAGGAAAGAGAAAAGCCAATTCAACGGTACTTTCAATGAAAAATAAACAAGCTACAGTTTTTAGTTATAAAGACCTGATGCAAAACCAGTGTTTCATGACTGTCTCAAGAGCAGCCATTCACTAATGGCCAGAGCCATGCTGAGCAAATAGATGACAAAAAATTTACAGTGGACCCAAACAATTTCTCTTGTAACAAGGCCTCCCACAGCCAAGGAGGAGGGGTGGGATTTGCCATCACCATGGAGCATTTCCTTTTCACCCTGTTATGAAATGTAAATGAATGCATCACCGTGAATCCTGTTGAGTTTACATGGCAGCACTCAGCTGAGCTATAACAATGGAAAAAGGGGTTTAACATCCCTAAAAAGGGTGACTGGTTTTTTTCCATAACCTGGAATCCTTGGAGCTGCAGGTAGCAGCATTACAAACATGGCTGGGTATCATATCTGAAATGCTTGAACCCAAGACAGCATAACTGAGCACAGATGATTGGGCTTTTAAATTAGCAAGTTACTAATGATTAAGTTATCCATTAGCAGGATAACTGGCTCTGCTAGCTAAAAAATTGCTAATAACTAAAAAATCCAAATGGGGACCACATCCAGGAGAGGCACATAGAGAGGGAGATTCCAACCTGCAGGCACAGGCCTTTCAAATTCAAACGTATCTTAATATGGGCAATTAAACACTGGGGTAAATTAGCTTCTTGAGGGTCCTCTGGGATTTCCCTATCATCGATTTGGTTCCCCATTCCTCATCCTCCACAGCCTAGCATGTTGTCAATAAGCCAGTCATGGTTTCATAGTTTCTAGGGTCGGAAGGGACCTGAGCAGATCATCTAGTCCGACGATCATCAGAGGAGAAACTGGCTTGGCTGTTGTTGGAGTTCAGCAGTTAGCCAGAGGTAGATTGTTGGGAGCACTCCTCAAATATCATTGCAGTGTGCACAGAACAAATACTTACATACCGATGGGGAGGAAGGAACGCAAGGCATTTCTTCTCCAAAGGGTCTGAGCAGGTGAGTTCCAGAGACTTAATGGTCTTGTCTCGCTTGACAGCCAATGTGTAGAATTTAATAGTCATGTAAATGAAAAGCTGTTAGCACCAGCAGAGTGCACGTTGGCATTATGCAACTGATCCCAACTGTACCCCTAGCAAATCCCTGTCTAAGGTTTTTGCTCCTGACTTGCAGAAGCCCCTACTATTCTAGTCGCTGGTCCTCACCCACTTTTGCCAATGTGTTTAGTCATCATTTGAAATGTCTATTCAAGCCTTAGGCCCTCACACAGCTCCACCAATGGACCTTAATCACAAGCAATTACTTCCCTGTTATTCCTGCCATCCTCTCTCCCTTAGCCGCACCAAAGCAACGCACTCAGAACCTGCTATCGCCAGGAGTCTCCACACACAGGTACATCTCAACCCTAGTCCCTACTATTCTCATGCTTCACCTCTCCTGAGAAGACAATTTGTCAAATACTGTAGTGGCCCCATCATTTAATGAATTATCTGCAAAGCACAAGAACACCAGGAAGCTTCCTTCATATGTGATCAGTGTTCATGCTCCTATCCAACTCTTTAGAGTTAAGAGGGCATCTAGAAGATATTGCACCATTACTTTACATTTCTAGTTTTAAGTGACAGAAAGCAGGGCTGAGAAATCTACCTGGACACACTGAGTGACCAGAAGCAATCACTGAGCATTGTATTGACTCTCTGATCTATATGAAATGGGTTCTGTGAGCTTAGCTCACTCCTAGCGGACAGATGTCTACAGCATAAAAAGCCATCTGTATAACTGGCTCAAAGTCTCATTTATTGCAAGTTTCAGTAGAAAGGCAAATGATTACATGCAGGCTAATGTACTGTACCATCAGAGCCTCACCAAAAGAGATGGAACCCCTTGCTGCATGGCAGGTGAGGAAACCATCACCATTTCTGACCTGAACTTACCCATTCTATGGTTAACGGTAGGTAGACACTGGGCCATAGTCACATTGTGTTTGTTTAAGGAAGTGCATCTGTTACAGTCAGAAACTGAGATCAATGTGGCACCTTGTTACTGAAAATATTTGTGCCCCATATGTCCTTGAATCTGCTCTGTAGGTTTTATGGACCAAAAGCTTTTGTTTGCTGTAGTTTTATGGAGCTGCATAGTTACATATGGGAGAGAGCTGGATTCTATCCTAATTCTTGTGTCTTCATCAGAATTGCCAGCTAAGCACTGACTGGAGAATCTTTATTGCTGCTGCTGCTAAGATAGGCAGTAATATCCAGATAGATTTTCAGACCCTGCATTGAAGTTTGCAGCAAAGGCTATAAATCATGTCTTGCTTTAATAATTGAGCACATTGGCTTGATAACCACTGAAAGAGAGTAAAGGTAGAACTACCTAATGTTATTTTTAGAGTGTCATGTCTCTGGTTATAGGTTATACTGTAAATTATTTACAGCTCCATTTAGATATGACATTAATAAAGATATTTGAAAGGGTTAGGGACAGCGGATTAGACAGAGAGACGTATTTTCCTAGATGTCCCTCAGATATCATTAATGCATAGTCACTTGACTATTGATTCATCACTAGTCCATCCTCCTATTGTCTGTATGGTTAATTATAATAGAACTGAATAAGAACAGTTTTAGACATAGCGGTTTGGTTTTTAATAAGAGCTAAACATTCAGAAATGGAACCAAAATGTCCACAGAGCTCTTCTTCCATTCGGACACTTAAATAGGTAGACAGGTCTCTCAAAGATTTCAGCATTCTCCCTGCTGAGTAGATTTGAAATTCGGGCTATTAGTGTCACAAAGGGAGCTCATGAGACCTGAGCAATTTAGCAAATTGTCCACTATTTTGGTGCCTGATTTATGAGCTAAGCTCAGCCTCGACTGCAGGTGGTGAGCCTTTACAGGTTAGCAAATCTATCCCCTGTAGTCAATTAAGCAGGTACAGCCCAGCATTTGGTATTTTCTTAAGCCGCTGACAAAGCAGTTTACATTGGCCCGCTCCAAAAATTGAAATGAGGATTTAAATATTTCCCAAGGGCTCCATTCTTCCACCTTTACATGGAATAGTATTTTACCTAATAGGGGGTCCCATTGAAATCAGTGGAACTACTTGCATAGTATGCACATTTGTAAAGGTGGCAGAATCAAGCCTATACAATATAAAATAGATGGATCCAACCATTTAGTTGCTGATTTGAATCTAACTCTCACAAATGGAGTGAAACTCCAACAAGCGTCATCCAAACTGCATGTTCAGCCAGAGACAAGATTGCAACTTATGCCATTTCAACAGCGTTTAAAAATCTCTTTCCAGTGTTGCACTGACCCCAGGCTCCATCCATAATTACCTAGTATCAAGCCTTAGACAGAAACCTCACCCTGTTCAGATCAGTCATGAACCTAAGGGAGTCACTGCTGGCTTACACTCTCATGTTTCTTTAAACTTAAGATCACGCAATAGTATTTCTTACCCTGACACAATTTCAAAGGGGGGCAGTTCCTCCAGTTCCTTCTTCTTCCTCTCCTTCTCCTTTTCCTTCTCCTCCTCAGTCAGCTCTGCATTTTCAGGCTCCGGCTCACCGTTCTGGGTGTTTTCAGGGTTTTCCTGCTTTTCAGCCATCTTGCTGGCTATGGCTGTACCAGGTTAAGATCACTACGAAAGAGCAGGAGCAATGTCCGTGAGCTGTCAAGGAAGAGAGACAGCACAGGGTGAGGGGAAAAAAGAAGCAGGGAGTTCCAGCAACAGGCAGAGTTGTCAGAAGCTAAATATGGAACAAAAGCAGCAATGACAGAGACTGGATTGGGTAGGATGACCAGAGGACTCTCAGATGTCTCCTCCTGTGCTAAGGCCTTTTAACGATCCCTCTCGCTCCCCTTTTTAATTTAAAGTGACGAATTCATTGTGGGCGGGTAAAGTCATGGATGGAAAATCCTGCAAACAGAAGTTGCCTATTTATCCACACAGATGGCAGAAAGCTGGCAAGGGGCAGGAATATTCCCCCACTGCCTTGGTTTGCCAAAGCACTATCAGCCTGACCTTGGAGGACCACCGTTCTAGCAAAGGTGGGAGTGGAGAGGAGGAATCCCCCGTCACTTCTATTTAAAAAGCTGGAAAAGTACATCCATTCTAACCCATGTTTCCATAGAGGGAACGTTGTGAACTGAGGATCCCACTCAAGTCCACGGCATAACTTCCACTGATGTCAAAGAAGCCAAAATTTTCATTCCAAAAGTTTTGAAGTCAGGCCCTGCATAGTTGTGGGCTGTGTTGATTTACACCAGTTCAGGATTTGTTTCTCATTCTCCACAATTTTTGGAGAGCTACTAGGCATAGACACCACTCCTTCCTGAATGTCCTGAAGGCCCGTAGTGCATGTAGGTGCTGCTACAGAGATCGATAATGATAAATTATCATCAGTTAGCAATTATCAATTAGGAGGCTGGACTCGATGATCTTCCGAGGTCCCTTCCAGCCCTAATGTCTATGAAATCTATGAAATAATGAAACGATTCCAATTTCTCCATTATTTAATGGTTTTCTCCAGTTCTGCTGTTGCCATGAGTGTGGATGCTGGATTGGTAATTCCCTCAGGTGGAAGGCAGACTAGCAATCAAGAGACTGGACAAATGGGGACCAGTGTTGGGGTTGAGGATCAGGACTGGAGTGTGCCTGTGGGGCCTGAAGGTTGTACAGAGGCAAGTAGCTGTGGGGCTGGCAAGTGGGGTCGAGGACTGATATGTACAGTGCATGACAGGGAGAATACTGGACTGACCCAGGAGAAGTTCTCTTATGGTGCTGTCTGTACTTTGTCTGGGCCACTTCAGTGTGGAATTCCTCCATAATAAAAAGCCCAAGAAGGCTGCAAAAGTTTCCATTAGCACAAATTTGGGGTGTCCAGTTGGTCCACTGAGTCAAATGGACCCTCCTAAGCAAAAGACTATGGTAATTTGGAATGCAACCCCCAGAGCTGTCTGGTTTTCATGTAGTCTCTAGAAAACCTTATTTTTTCCTGTTGACCATCGTATGAGACTTGGCCACAAAAACATCTTGTTCTGAATTTAAACCACTTAATTCAAATCCAAGGTGTTCTTAGAACTTGAATAAAGATTCTTCTTTGGAAGTCATCCTGACATGGCGTTAGGATGGAAAGAAATAGGACATTTGTAGATGCTGTGAACTTGTGTTTTACCCCTCCAGAATCTCTTATACTAACAATCATCTCAATTTTTCCCAGCATCTTCAAGAATCCCAAGGCCCTTCACAACGCTTCACATGCAGCACCCCTGAAATGCAGCCACCTCTGAAGCAGGGAACATCGAGCGCCTTCTTACACCACAGTGTTTGCTGAGACCTGGTAAGAAATAGTGATTTATTTGATGACTTGATACTGGGGGTGGACTGTGTTGTGACAACGGGATAATAAAGGATTTAAAAAGTTCCGAGGCTGTCCGTCCATGAGACATACATCACTTTTTTATGTTGCCTCATAGTTCTTTAAAAAAAAAGTTTGGAATACTTTTCCTGGATCAAGAGCATAATATTGTTTTTCCCCTTGGCTGGTAACTATGTTCAAATTCCAGGTCCCCTGCCCAATCACTTTCACCTTTGACATTTCAGGGCGTGAGTTTTGGGATGGGAATCCTCTGCTCTTCCCTTTCCTCCCTGTTGTCTAAAAAATCCCATCCCCTCTTCCGTCCCTCTGACCCACTTTTTTTATTTTTGGAAGCTCTTGACTGCTAGATTAAGCAGGACCCATCACTCTTGCAGCCTTTAGCTTTCACTGGCCCGGTCAAGCTGCAACGATCAATGCTGAGCTCTAATCTAATCTCTGGAATGCAGTGCTGCGACTCTGTTGCTCTCCAGCCATTCCCCAGCTGCTGCACAGCTCCATCTAGGGCAGTGCGCTAAATACTCACAGGCCACCCCCCATAGCCTGTGCCTGGGCCAAAAATATAAAGGGACGCCACTGTGATGTGGTCAGTCTGACAATGGCATTAAAACCTTAGCAAGGAGAAAAGCTTTGATCAGTTTTGTCCGGTTTTTTTTGACTAGCCATAGCTCCCCGCAAGTGTATGTGTAATTGCACGTAGCGCTGCTGAGCCCTGCGTATCAAATTGCTTTACCTTCAGCTAACTGCATGAGGGTATGTGTTCAGCAGATTTGTCAGATGTACAGTTATCCTCACTATGGGGCCATCCCAACTTTGGTCAACTAAAGTCAATATGCTTTCCAATCGGTGGGTGTGTCTACATGTGAGATTAAAGCACATGAATAAATTCCAGAGCTTATTGCTCTGGCGTTTTTTGCTCTGGGCGCACTCAGGAGCAAAACACTCTAAAGCATATTGCTCTGGAGTTCATTTGTGTGCAGCATGTGGTGCCCAGTCAGAGCAACCTGGGCTGACAGGGGACCTGGGGGGTCAGCCTGCCAGGCCTGCCAGCCCAGGCTGCTCCGGCCAAGCTCCACTTTCTGTGGAGTGGCTGGTTGCTTCAGTGTGGGGACTGCCTGCCACCAGCCCCACACTGAAGCACCCTGTGCCCCAGCCAACCTGCTCAGCATCTACACATGTGCTGATGCACATGAAAAAACTCCGCAGCAGGGTAGTACTTGTACTGCTGCAGAGTTTATTGGTTTCACGTGCCCTAATAGGAGTGCGGGTATAGATGCCAAGACATTTACTGCACAAGTAAGTAGTCAACTTTGCAATAAATGTTTCATGTAGACACACTCAGTGTGTCTTTCTCAGGCACTTTCCTTTCCTTATAGTTCAATGTTTTCTTTCTTTACCTATGAATACAAAGCTGGTCTGGCAGTCCCACACAGTGATGTCTCTCTCAGTTTAGCTCCAGAACTGGCACAGTAGATCTGGAGTATCAATGGGTCAGCCCCAGCAAAGCTACGAGATACAGGAGGAAGCTGAAGGACAGGATTTGGGTATGCTGGGGATAGGGACCTATGACAGGAAGAGGAGTGGGGTTACGTATCGGGAGTGAAGGGCATCAACATTAATGTGCAGAATCTTGTCTAGAATAACAGGGATGTGGCAGGTCAGCAATGAGGGGCACTGGCAAAGTCCTGGTTGGTAGCAGGGGCAGGACAGGGAATGGTTGCAAAAAAGATGTAAGAAGGGAACCTAAGGTGGCCTCCAGTTCTGGGTAGGAGCTGGACACTTGATTCTTTGGTTTGGGGGGTTTCTGTCTCTGAGTATGAGGCTACATCCATTGAAGTCCATAAAGAGTTTTGCCATTGATGTCAGTAGGAGCAGCATCAAGCTGTTACATGCATCAGCTACAGAAAGAGCACAATCTTTTTTTAAATATTTGTCTCCTAGAGAAAAATTATTATGCACATGCAAACCCTTGGACCATTCTCCCAGTCAGGCCAATAGTTTTTTTTTCTGGAGTCAAACTATGTGCACGTGGCTGTTATCCTGTTACAATCGTGAAGATGACATCTTCTACCAAGGTCTTCCCCACTTAAGCCTCTCTTCAAGACATATACTCCCAAAAAGTCACTCATCAGTGGGCAAAGGGTTATTCAGTTCTTATTTGGAGGCCAGATCTCGGGGCTTTGTGTTTGTCTGCAAGAACTGAGAGAAAAGGAGAGCTGCCTATTAGATCAAACTTCTGATCCGCCAAATCCAGTATGCCGTCTTTACCGGTGGTGGCTGATATCTGATGTTTTACAGATAAGCAGCTACTCCCTCCACATCAGCTGGTCAGTTATGCTTTGCTGAGGAGGAAGAAATGAAAAGAAAATATTCCTTCCTGATGTAAAGGATCAGCTTATGCCCTAAAGCACAGGATTCAGTCACTATATTTTTAATTGCACAATTTGAAGGGGAGATTCAAAAGACTGGGAATGGGGTAGAGGAGACCTGGCTGCAAAGGATCTTGCTAAGGACAGGGTGTTTCATTGCATTCTCAGACTGGAGGAACATTTTTGGGCAGATCCAAGAGTGAAATAAGACCGTGGCTGTGTTAGTTATAGCTCTTTATCCCAAGGGGACAGCTGGTGGTAGTAACAAAACATCTCCCTAGATACATTGTCTGGCAGCAATCCCCTTTCTGCTTTTTCCAGCTGTAACTACCGTTACAGGATAAATAAATAAAGTCCTGTTGACAGTGATGTCAACAGAGCCAGCTTTCCTTCCCCCAGGCCCCTTGGCAGCTCCCTCCCTTTTCCCCCTGTGGGACCATGGGACACAGATTTCAGAGGGTAGCATAGCACGTCAGAGTGAAAGGGAAGAGAGATGGAGAGTCTGGGGGCATCCTGATCCCCTGTAATAAACCTTCTCTGCTTGAGTGCAGGAGCCTGGTTTCCTGGCATCTCATCTCCATATCACCCTGGCATTGTCTCCTTTCTTGGCCATCTCAGGAGATTTGAATCTAATCTTATTTATCGTGTCTATATTGTGCTTTTCACTGTAATGTTTGGGTGTTACATAGAAGTCTCAGGCAAGCAGACAGACACATTGACAGGCTGAGCCACGAAAACTGAACCTCTTCCCTTGAGTCTGTTCCTTCAGCACAGAGAAGTGGTTTATTTTAAGAACAGCATGGCAAGGAGTTTGCATAAGAACTGCCTGTGCTGGGCTTGCTGGGCCAACTTCTGCCCTCAGCTAGAAGGGTGCCATCCATCATGGCTCTCACAGTGTTGAACCAGGGGAGCTTAAATCAGAATATGGCCCTTTCCGTGGGTGCATGGAGTCCTTCAGTCTCCAGGACTTTTTATTCTATTCTATTCTATTCAGGTGTGCAATGTGCTCATCAGTGTAGCTTCTGAGGGCCTTCCAGTAGGGCAGTGTGACTAACATCTGTCACTTATTTGTTCTCACAGCCTCTCCCCAGACAGAGG